GTCATTGACAGTTGACAGTAAAAAAAATAAAACCAGGTAAGTAGTTTTTTTCTTGTTTTTCATGTGTATTCTTTATTTAATATCATAAAAGCAGCTAAAATGTAAAAACAGCAAACTTTTTATGTTAGTTAAGATTAGATTAGGGGAATTAAAGAATAACAATAATAAAAATTTTTCCCAAGGTACGCTCACGAGTAGCTTATGTGTAATGTAATTCAATAGTGTAACATGAGTTGCACGTTCACCAAGTGATCTATAACTTATAATGGTGCGAATAATAGTTAGACAAGGTTCAACATGCAATAAAACAATAAAATTTAAGTATAAATAGATGTATACTGTTAAGATATTTATGATAAATAAATGTAGTTTCAAATTACAATTTGAAGTCGTTGCACGTTCACCAAGTGATCTATAACTTATAATGGTGTGAATAGTTAGACAAGGTTCAACATGCAATAAAACAATAAAATTTAAGTATAAATAGATGTATACTGTTAAGATATTTATGATAAATAAATGTAGTTTCAAATTACAATTTGAAGTCGTTCTAGGAAGAAAAAAGTAATTTAGATTTATTTCATTCTTTTTCTTGTAGTTATGAGGTCAGTAAAATTGAGCAACCTTGTATAAAATTAGGTAGAAAAAATAACAGATAAAATATAAAGTTTTACTGAAAAAAGTTTGAAATTTATTTAGAAGGTTTTAGAAATTAAACAAATAAAATTTGAGATTTTTGAAAAGTATTTTTTATCTTAACTAGTATATAGAAATACTGTATATATATATTCACTGACAAATCCTTAGTAAAAATATTTCTTTAAAAAATCTGATTTTTTGTATACAAAAGACTTAATGTTTACTAAACGTTTTGTGAAGATACACAAAGGGCATTAAAAGTTATAATATGAAAACTATGACAAAAACAAAAGTGGTTACGAGTTTGTCAATTCAACCAATTTCATTGTGAGAGAATTAATTATGAAATTGTTAGAAATAAGAATAAATGTTTGCTTATTTTACTTAAGTTAACTCAAAAAGGCTTAAAAGAAGTGTTAACAGTTTCATAATTTCTTTATCATGAAAACATTAAAACCAAAGTTTATTCATAGAGCTAACTTAATAAGATTGGAACTAATACATGTTATTTTTGTGATGATATGATAAATTTCAATGAAATTAAAAATCTGCACAACCCAGCTATATTCTAAACTTAGAAAAAAGTTGTTTTGGTGATTGGAATGTTGAAGAAACAGTTAAAAGTGCACAGAACATTTTAATTATCTTTAAATAAAAAGGTTTTAAGTTACACACCACTTCTGTCCTTTTTTTTTTTATAGGAGTTTGATATACTGAATTATTCCTTGAGCAGTGCTCGGATCTTCTTCCGAGCTGACCTCACAGCTGCTGAAGAAAAGGAGATAAAAAAAGGTAATTGGAAATAATTTTATAGTGTAAAAGATGGCAATTTTTCCAACCTGTACAGAAAGACAATAAAATATGAACTGAAAATAATAAATAAAATGGACTTAAAACTAAGCTAAACTTCATACTAGCTGGTTGTGGTAAAATAAAGTACAAAAGATGTATGTCTTTGAATCTATCAAGTAAAATAGATAAAAAAAGTAAATGAACTGATGAGATTTTGATTATTAGAGTGAAGTTGTGTATTTTATCCTATTAATTTTGAATTGTTTAACAAAAATTTGTATATTTTCACTGGATAGCTATTTTTGTCCTCAGGATAACCAACAACAATCTTTTTGTATTATTTTTTTTACCTTTTCAAGGTCACTAACAAATTGCCGGGTCCACATAAAGGTTCTACCATGACTTATTTCATAAACAGACAGATTTCTAAAATGTTTTAAGCTGTTTTTTTATTCGTAAGCTTAAAACTTTTAAATTGTCTGTCATGATAAAATTTAAAATGACATATCACGTAAAAATGCTAGAGTGATATAAATATAATAAACTTTGTAGCATTTATGGATTTATTTATAAATTTTAATAATGTTTTTCTTTTTTTTATTTGATTTATTGTGGTAATCTATCAAAAACAAACTTATCTTGAAAAATAATTGAATAAACAAATAAAAGAAGGGAAATATGAAGCATAATTTGGCAATAATTACATCTGTACTGTTGAATCGTTATTATTACTAGAAGTGTTCAAATAGAGCTTATCCTTGCTTTCTTTAGCTTTAGGATAAGAGGGTAGTTCTTACAGTTTAGTGAAAACATAAAAAAAGGCTCAGTGATTAAAATTAGTCTTTGACACATGTCTGTTGAAGTGTGTCCTTTTATAACTAGTGAAACACTGTACTAATTGTTACCAAACGTAGCATGTATTCTTAGGGCCTCTGAAGAACTGGCATCGAGGTGGGAGGTGGCTTTTAAATCTGATCTTCCTATGCATTTAATGTGCATAGTATTTACAAAAATATCAGATCATCCAGTGATGGTAACATGGAAAATACATAAAAATAATTTCTTACATCTTAGAAGAGTAGTTTATTGAAAAGAATTCCTAGAATGTTAATATTCTGTCTGATAATAATAATCAAAATAAATGCTCAGAAAATAATAAGTTTGTTTTGTTTTTAGGAGATAAAAATGATCAAGAGAAGACTGGAAACAGAACTGAAAAATCCCTAGGTATGTAAACCTCTTCCTTTTGATTTTGTAGATGTAACTGTTTTTTTATATCATATATTTTTCAAGTTTTTGATGTTGGACCTACAAATTTATTCAATGTAGAAGGTCATTTATATTTGCATGTGCAGCCCTCGAAAGTTAGGCTTGAAGGGGCTCTTGCAGTGGAATATTTTATGTAACTTTTGTAAATAATTCCAAAGCTAAACAGATTATTATTATTTTTTGTTGTTGTTCACATAGCTATAATTTGTCATTTACATTTTACTGGTGTCCCTGGGGATAGTTAAAATTAATTAGTGTAAATTGATCTGAAGATGTGCTATCTCTTTACAAGTGTAGTGTTATTGGCACTATGAAAGTGTTTAGGAAAACAAAACAAAAACTGTTTAACAGCATCTGTCATGGCTTTAGGGTTATTGTTATGACATGAGATAAAAGAATTAATGGAAAATAACTTATATATGGGAATATGAATTTAAGATATTTTGTTTAACATTATTTCATCAAAATATTTTTCTTCTAAATGCTGTTTCTTTCATTCCAAAATATAACTTAAAAAATTAGCCTGCTGGATTTATTTTTGTTGCAGCAACTGTAATATTAGGCTACAGGTTTTGCTTGCAAACTTACTGGAATGAAATGCTAATATTTAACCTCAGTGTTGAGTAAAAATATTTTTATGTAACCATTTTTCATTCAGCAAAATGAAGATGGTAAAAAAAACAAACATCAGTAGTACAATAACATAGAAGGCAAAGCTCCCAATACAGTCTTATCTCTTCTTACACAAAGCTATCTCACTTTTCTTTCTGCCTCCTCAGTATTACTAAAAAATTTTAGCACTCAGCACACCATTCTATATACTGTTTACGACTATACTTCATTGACACTTCAATGCCTTTTTCAAGTTTTCTTGTACAGTGTTTGCATTCAATTGTTTCAGTTTTTTTTTCATTTGTTTATTGTTACCGAATTATATGGTAACTTAGAATGACTTCGTAATTCAATGTATCGACAACAGTAGTTCCCATTACTGCAGAAAATGCTTCTGGTATGACTACTCCGGCACATCGGTTTTGACTTTATCTGCTGAGGAAGTACAGGCCTTAATTTGTAGGGAGCTAGATTCGCACATTCAGTTCGCAATTTCTTCTCATTACCAACCTAACAAAGTTGCTGAAGATGAATGCAATCAAGGAGAAAAAATTGGATTCACTTTTTCTGGCACCTTTTTATTTTGGTTTGTCACACTAAACCTTTTTTTTTAACTGCTGGTTATTCAGGTGTGTGGTATGTTACATGTTTCCTTTTCCTCCTAGCTTGCGAACATCGTTGATTGGATATTTATTACCTCAGCTACAGAAGATGACGGAAGTTATGTTTTCACCCCTGTGCGTGTGTGTTTATCAGCAAGATTTCTCATAAACAGCTAAATGGATTTGGACGAAAGTTGGTATACATTTAAACTATGACACAGTTTAGAAGTTATTAGTTTTTTTAGGGTTAAAGGTCAAAGTCACGAAAAATATATCTACCTGTTGACATGGGGACTGATTTTTCACATTATTTTTGCCTTATAACTCAGTCAGAAATGATCGGATTTTGATGAAACTTGGTGGACATGTGTAGAATATTATTCCTCATTGTCCTGCCTAAAATGGACCATATCCATTGAAAATGATAGGCATAAAGACACGTTTTTGTCTGGAGGAGGTATGAACTCTACTGAGTGCTCCTCTAGTGCTAATGTTACCAGAATCCTCTACCATTCCTCTTATGTCTTCCTATTTTCAAATTAGTTCTTCCTCCCTAAGACCTCTGTTGCCCAGGAAGGCCATTTGGCTTTCACACTCATTTCTTTACCTTCCATCTCCTACCTGTACTCTCATTCTGATCCCATTTGGCTTCTTTGTCAGGTTCGCTCCCACAGGTTTGATGTGGCATGTTCTGCCTCATTTTGGGTTCACATTCCCAACCTTTTATTCCCTGGATCCCTTCTGTTTCCTGTGATCTATCACCTGTCACATTAACTGGTTTAGTTAGTCAATTCCTTAGGCTGATGTATTCAGACTTATCCATGGAAGATTACTGTCTCCTCAACGTTTCTTCTCATCAAATTTGTCATATTGCCATGTTTGGTTGCTCATCTTTCCTGTCCGTTGGAAGAAATTGTTCAGGCTGAAATCTGAACTACTTTGTATTCCTTCTTCACTCACTATCTGCATTATCTAGCTGTATCTTTCTGAGGTGGATATTGTCTCCCTCCTGTGGCATTTCTGCATATATTATGTTTGCCTTTGACTTGGGTATCTTTTGCCAATATTTTGTTTTTCTTTTCTTTTCAAGGACCCTTTTTTTTACTACTAATAGGATCCTGCTCTGTGGTGAGCATTGCCTGGTCAGGTGTGCTTTCACTCAAACCTGCACTATATACTGGTGGATCTATAATGCTCACTGTAGAAATAGGGTGTTCTGCAAGATCACTAGTGGCATGCCTAGTGGTATATATTTATGTGTCTCTAGGTGTCTGTAAGTTTAATTCAATAGTGGACCATTACTCATTGACTATCATGAGTAAAGCAAAAGGGGGATTTCTGCTCATCCCTGTTGACCAAGGAAGCTTCCTCCTGAGTGTGAAGTAGAAATTTACATTACAATACAACCAAGCATTTACTCACTCAGTGAGAAGAGGGAAAATCTGGGTTCTCTCCTTCCCTTTCCCCTGAATACATATTTCCAGGTGGACTGAATGTCGGTTAGAGCAGGACCAACCTGCACAGAATCCTCCTCGTAATACCTGGTTCAGGATGACACCACCATGTTCCCACAGTTTAGTGCAGTAGAGGCCCCTTTCTTGTTCATTCCGAATGCAGGAGGTTTCCTTCCTTGATCCTATGGTTGAGTTTGGGGGACTTCATCTACCTTGTAATTCCAGCAACAGGACATACGTACACTGTTCCTACAGGTGAGCAAATGTTCCACATCCTATTCTGGTTGCAGGATCTGTCTTCCCTGCATTTGCAGTTGGGTGAGTTATGATTTCTGCTCTTAATACCAGTTACAGGTATTGCCCTCTTCTTACGGTTGGGTTTAGGCAATGACACAACCCCGTAATGCTGGGTTCAGTTTGTTTTACTTCTTGCTCCTATCATGGTTTTGGGAGTTTGTCTGATTTCAGCAGAATGCTAACTTCCTCTTCATAATTTCGTTTGCTTGACATAAAACACTCTGTTTACTTACAGTTAGGGTTGGTGTGTGTATATATATCACATGGTTCACAAGCCCTAGCTACAATGTTTATGTTACTCTAATTTTGTTTTTATCTGGGTTGTTCTCAACCTTCTAATGCAGAGGATGGGTTGTGGAACCTCATCTGTCCATTTGAGGTTGGGTAGATACCTAGCCATGGCTAGATGTTTTTCTCTATCATTATATTTCAATGAACTGTCCCTTGACTTGCCAATTCTCCTTTTGTGGGTATCAAATTCACTTCAAGACCATATTGGAAGTAAACATTTTCTTACACTGAAAATGTATTTCTGATAGGTACTTACTTCCTCCCCACTGCTGGTATTATTCATTTTTGATCCTGCCAATTCTTGAAAGTGAGGAGTGAGTAGGAAAATCAGAGGGAGTTAGCTAGCTGTGTCAATATGGGTAGTGCAATGCTATTGGTGGAGGGTGGTCACATGCTATATACATGTTTAAAAGTGGCACATAATTTGTGGGGTATATAAACTGGTGCACTTAGTATTACAATTTTTTAGCAATGCTGAGGAGCAGAAAGAAGATTGAGATAGCTTTGTGTGAGGGGAGGAAATTCATTTTCAGAGTAAGAAAATGTTAACCTCTGTGAGTGCTAAGACATAACAGAAAATAAAGGAATGAGAAATACTGTCGTATTTTTTAATTATTTTGATGAAACATTTAATATTTGCAAAAATACTCATTAGTTATCCGTTATAATGCTTCTTGTATTTTAAATATTATAAAATTGGTGAAACATTAAGCTTGTAATAATGCTTCTTGTATTTTAAATATACTGAACCGCAAAAGAAACGTCGCATATTTCGAAAACTATAATTTTCAAAAACATAGAAAAAATTAATTGATTTATTTTGGTTAAGGTAAATTACACCTAAACGATGCTACGAGTATGTTTAAATCTCCGTTACGGCTGACTGCACTCATTCGTTCTGTTGTCCTAATGTTGGTTTTGCTTGGTCCGAGGGACACGTTCCGCATGAAAATTTCAAGATGATGATATGCACGTTGAATCCGTGCCTTATTAGGGGTATTTAAGACGTGTAAAGTTTT